ACGAGGAGATTACTTTAGTCCATATAATGCTTTCCTCAGTTTACACATCTTTCTATCAAAGTCGTAGCCTGGTGGAGAATCCATAAATAGCTCGTCATGAAAATCACCATTTAGGAAGGCATTCTTCACATTCAACTGATGGAGTTCCCATGAAAAATTTGTTGCTAATGATAGTAAAACCTGAATTGTGCTGAGCTTCGCTACTGGAGCAAAGGTTTCTTTGTAGTCAATCCCTTCTTTTTGAGTAACCCCTTTGCCACAAGTCGGGCCTTGTACCTTTCAATGGACCCGTCCTCCCTATGCTTTGCAATGAATGCCCAATTGCACCTGACAATGCTCTTCCCTTCTAGCAGATCCCCTAATTCCCAAGTCCTTACTTTCATTAAAGCTTTCATCTCTTCATTCATAGCTTCTTTCCACCTTGGGTCAGACACATCCTCTGAGTACCTAGAAGGAACATGTACAGAGGAAAGAGCAAACACATAGGAGTGATAGGATGGAGATAAACGTGAGTATGAAACAAAATCAGCAATGGGGTGCCGAGTAGTACAAGAACGAATAGACTTACGAAGAGCAATAGGAAGATCCATATCAGAAGTATGTGTGTTGGGATTACCTTGGATTGCGGAGACAGATTGATCAGAGTCCAACTGGTTGCTGTCATGAGTTTGAGGGCCCTTTTTTCTTCTATTGTAGGTGATTCTTATATCTTTCTATTGCCACTAGAGCCCTCAGGAACATTTTCAGTATCAGGAGAGGTAGCAAGCACAGTGGGAGCCTCACTAGGTTCACCCGGGATGCCACAACTAGGAGTAGAAGGAGAGGATGGAAGGCCCGAGGCAGATAGAGGAACAAAAAAGAAGGGAGAATAAGAATCCTCTTCCATCCCACTAGTCTCCCCCTGAAGAGGATTCTGGGAAGACTAAAAGTACGGTTGAGACTCCAAAAAAACCACATCTCTGGTGACATACTTTATCTTGGTGACAGGATCATAACACTTCTAATCCTTTTGTGTAGGAGAGTACCCCAAAAAAATTCCTTTCGTAGCCCTAGGATCCAGCTTGGTCTTCTTTGGATCCTTTACATGTATAAAACATACACAACCAAAGACCCTAGGAGGAAGAGGAAAGTCTGGAAGGGTAAGACACATAACAGAGAAAGGGGTTTTCATACCCAACACCTTAAATGGCATCCGATTTATCAGATATGATGTAGTAAGTACTACTTGAGACCAGTAGTGCTTGGGAACCTTGTGCTGGAATATTAAGGCTCGAGCTGTCTCCAATAGATGTCTATTCTTGCGCTCAGCAACCCCATTTTGTTAAGGGGTATTAGCACAAGATGATTGATGTAGCATGCTAGCATCTTCCATTAACAAGTTCAAGGATTTTTCAAAATATTCAGCAGCATTATCTGACCGAAATTGCTTAATCTTCTTGTCAAATTGTGTTTTAATCATTTTGCAAAATGCCATGGTTATCCGTGGCACTTCATCTTGTTCTTTTAACAGGTAGATCCATGTGCATCGAGAGTAGTGGTCAATAAAACTAATAAAGTAACGAAAGCCATAAATAGAAACAATAGGTGAAGGGCCCCAAACATCAGAGTGAACCAAATCAAAAGGAGCTTGAATTTCATTACTGGAAACTGGATAAACAGTTCTACATTATTTTGACTGTTGACATACTTCACAGACTAAACTCTGACCTGAAATGCCCTTAAACAATTCGGGAAACAACACTTCCAATGAAGAAAAAGGTAAATGACATAGCCTAGCATGCCACAGATGCAACCTAGCTATTGACTCTACATTCTCCGGACCACTAGCAGYAGATGCTTGTAAGGCTGAACCGATGTCTGTATCAAAATAGTAGAGGCCTCCATACTCATGAGGTAAGAGTAGGAACATGCAGAACTGATTTAAGAGAGAGAGGTCCTTGCTTAGATCAACCACCCCTTTGCCAAATATGATGGAGAAAGACCCGTCAACAACTCTCATCTTGTCCTGACCAGACAACAAGTGATATGAAGAGAATAATGAGGACATATGTGTCATGTGGTCAATTGCACCGGAATCAATAAACCAAGAAGTAGAGTCAATAAGACTAGTTGCATTAAAGGCAGAGACTATACTTGATTTGGCAAAAGAGGTGGAAGCAAAAGAGTTACTCCTTAGACAGGCTAAAGCCCGGCTAATGACCTCTACCTCACCAGTAGTGAAGCCCAAGGTACCGGCTCCGGAGGAATTAGCAACATGCCCCATGGAAGAAGAAGCCACTGTTGGTATACTCTGTGAGCTATCACCATTATTACTAGTGACAAGGTTCCCACTTGCTGCTTGACCTTTCTGTCGCTTCTTGTCTTTTCTCAATGCAGCTGGCTTCAGGTGAGGATACAAGACCCAACACTTTTCTTTTACATGTCTTTCACCTCCATAATGAGTGCACTTAAGATGCCTTTTGTTTGGATATCTGTCCCCCTTTTGATTTGTAGAAATCAGGGCTGAATGTTCTATAGATTGTTTAGCTGGTTGCATCTGAGTGTCAATTTGCATCTCCTTTCTCCTGACCTCTTCATTCCGTACCAGATAATAAACATGATGTAACTCGAGCATTTCATCTCTTCCAAGAATTTGTGACCATGCCCTCATACATTGGGTCCAGGCCAGCCAATAACTTAAAGGCGCTGCTCTCTTCAATCTTCTTATCATGTCTCTCCTTATCCCTGGCATTCTCCCAATCCAGAATCAAGTGATGATCAAGTTCTTCCCACAATCCTTCCAGAGTTGCAAAATATGTTGCAACTGTCATATCCCCTTGCCTTAAAGCAATAATGTCTTGGTTCAACCTGTAAATTCTAGTATTGTTTTTCTCCTGTCCATTGGTTTTTGACACTTTTTCCCAAATCTTAGCTGCTGTGGAAAAGTGTTGAATAGTCCTAGCAACTCGTGGAGTCATAGAAGCAAGCAACCGGGACATAACTGTGGCATTCTCCTTGTGCCACATTGCATACTCCACACTGCCAACTTCGGGTTCCTTCTTCTTCCCATCTAAATAACCCGTGAGTTCACGGGAAGTAATAAAAAGCATTGTAGAAATGGACCACTCCCTGAAGTTGTATTCATCCAGCAACACACTTGTAATCTGCAAGCTGTGTAGATTCGGGTTCTCCAGATTTGAAGACCTCCCACCAGGTCTATTATCCCTAGAAGAGACCTCTCCGGATATTGAAGACATCTTGGTTGTAGACTTTGTGTAGACAACACTGTTTCAGACTAGCCGAAGTGGTCACAGTTTTGAAGTGGACCAATTACAATAGCAAGAAGAATTTTGTGAGCTAGTAACTGAGAGCTCTCCACCATTGCACTATCTAGACTTCTCTTGGGCTTCGACTTCTGCTACTGTAGAGAGTGCTCACCCCTATGACCAATACTAGGACTGCTAAAATCAGTCCTCAACCTAGGTCTGTCCTATACAGACCTCTCTTAAGCAGCCGAATGGCTACTAACTACTAGAAGCAGTCTAGTAGGACATCAACTTCTGGGTCTTACTTCCCTTGTGCCCTACAACTAGGGGAAACCCTAGGTTCGAACCTTGTTCTGTTCTACGACAACCCTAGGGTTTCTCCGCAGCATCCAGGATAAAAAAAGAGAAAAAGAAAGCGAGAGAGAAGAGTTGGCGTCGGCTATAACCAGAAGATCGCTTAATGCTCTGATACCATGTTTGCTGAAAGGTTGTAGCTGAAGTAGTAGAAGAGAGGTGAAGGCAAATAAGTGTTGAGAATGTCGAATTGAGTAACCCAGTCGACAGTACTATTATTTATAGTAGATTACAATACAGTGTTACATGAAATGTCTGGAAATGCCCCTGATTAGTGATGGGACACCCAAACTACTTAAAACACTAAACAGACTTAGGCCCAGTACCTAACAGCTTAAAACCCAATACTAACTAACATGTACACTTATCAACCGAACCAACAATACATAAAAACAATCAACTTAACAATATATATATAAGGCTCGATTAAGCTCGTGATTCTCACGAGCCAAGCTTCACTAGGCTTGAACTTGGCTTAAATTGAGCCAAATTGAGCTTTTAACGAGATAGACTCGAATAACGCATGAAAAGCTCGAGCCTAGTGAAGCTTGGTTGTGTCACTTGTGTTACTGGTTGAATTAGCGAGAAGGCCACAATGCTAAGGGTGCTGATAAAATATCAAACCAAATCAAGAAAACCAAACAAAAAAATTTCGATTAATTGAATTGGCTGGATATATATATATATATATATATATATATATATATATATATATATATATATATATATATATATATATATATATATATATATATATATTATCTATATATAAATATGCGATATTTACAATTATCTATTTGTAATATATTATAAATATGAAAAACAAAAATAAAATGGAGAACCCAACCGATCAACTGGTTCGATTTAGTTTCAATTAGAGGATTCTCAAAAACTTGTAGTATCGGTTCGGTTTAGTTTCAAAAAAGAATCATTGAACCGTGAACACTAGTCTAAGGCCTTATTTGTTTTTGGGTCTACTATCCACGTTACCGGATTACCCACAAGACATTACAATAGGGGTAGATAGCGTTCTAAGGCCTTGTGTGTTTTTCGGAAGTGAGGGCACGTAAATTGGTGGGTTAGGGAAAATAAATAAAATAGCATTTATATTTTGGTATTAATTAATTTCGTGAAAATAATAATTTTCGAGGGTTCATTTAATTGGACAAATAAGACCATCCTGAGACTTTGACAAATCACTTATCCATATATACCGATAATTGTTAATACGTAATGGAATTCGCGTTCTGTGCACCCATGTGTGCTCTGGACGCGTGAACCCGCGAATCAGAGTCCTCCATGTCAATCAGGAAAAGGAATATGTACCGTTAACGTTTCAAGTGCCGTTAATTGGGTTTAGCGGTTCAAGCAGCCGCAAAATGACAAAATGGAGATCAAAACCCCTGACAAACTTCATTTTTGACTTTTCCCTTTATGTTTTCCCCTTGGAGACCGAACCCTACCCACACTGTGACTCGAACCAGTGGCCGCCGCCGACGATGGCGAGAGCTCCAATGGTACGTTTCTCTCTTTCTCTTTTTCTTCTTCATTCATCAGATGCGCTGGTTTTGAGTGCGCATTTATTTATATTGACAGTAAACCTCTTCATGGCCGGGCTCGAGTTTAGCTTTTGCCATATACACAATACCGAATTTATTCAACTGAAGTTCTTTGAGTTCAGGTCTCTAATAAATAGTTTGGTCACTTGGTGGTTAGGGATAATAAAAAATTTTGAAAGATTCAAGATGATTGAACATGCAAAGAAGAGATCGAAGGTTCCCTAATTTTGGACTATGCAAAGGAGAATCAATAGAGTACTTGAACCCGTGGAGCTAAGCGGAAGATTCAAAAAGATGTTGAATCCGTGTTGTTGCCTATGAATAAATCGATTTTTGGTGGTGGATTCGAGTTCATCCCATCGCCGCCTTTGATGCTTTATCAGAATTTGAAGAGCAAAACCGAAGAATTATCAATGGACGAGCAAATAATTGGGCCAAAGGGGTGTGATGTGTGAACTGTGAAGGAGCTGGGGGCTTCGGTGAATATTGAATAGAGATGATAAGGGAGGAGTCTAGATCAGATTCTTACAAAGGAGCGCTCTGTGAGGGACAGGGAGAGTATCATTTGAGTCTGAACTCCGAATTGCGGACAAAAAAATCGTCGGAGCTCTCCTTGTTGCCGTCGATGGCTGCCAGAGAATACAGGGGAAAAGCAAATAGGGTTTACTGCATCGGTCACTTGAAGGTTTCGGTGGAAGGAGGAAAGCTCTAGAGGAAATCACTCAAAAATCTCGCAGTATGGGTTTGGCTCTGGTTTGTATCCGGTTGAACCGTCGAATCCAAGTTAATGGCGCATTTGACTGTTAACATTTGAATAATCGACGTGGTCGAATCCTATTGGCGGGTTCACTCGTCGAGTGCACCCACGGGTGCACAGAACGCGGACTTTTCGTAATGCAATAATATTACCCTTTCAATAGTGTCACTGTTTTTTTGGATAAAATAGTTATTTCACAACTTTACATGGGGAATAAGTATTTTCTTGCCTGATAAATATATTTACCCACGTAAATGACTTGCGGAAACGTGAACAAGGCCTAACTAGGCCTAAGTAGGTTGAGTTGAAGATTCAGTTATTGATTCAACTACTTTGAAGCGCTTTCCATAAGCTATTTAAAGAAATTGTAGCGGATGCTCGCGGGGAAGCAATCAAGCCATTCAAATGACTGACCTACAGCGGATTTGGGCTCATCGGAATTTTTACAAAAGCCAACTGGCAATAGCTTATACGCTGTCCTTATTGGGCCCGGGCTCTGGAAAGCCAGAAGCCGCTGCGCTTCAGCCCTCCCCTCCCAACCGGGCATTCTAACCTGTGGCTCTAACCGTTTGTAGAGCGTACTTACGATCTGGTTTCGGACGGAACTTTCAAGTTCCTTCGTCTGCCATATAGCGGGTAGTGCACTGTAAGCTATAAATAAGGTGAAACATTGCAAAAAGGCGGGAAAAACGAAGATGCTCGAAGTTCTTAATGGCGGGAGCTGATTCTCAGAAGCATCTCTTGACATTCATTCGCGATTTTGCCTCGGAAAAGTCCCATGGAGGTGATTTCATCCATTGCTTATGGTTTCTGTTAATGATATATTCCTTGATCCGTCTTTCCTTTTCCGGTCTCTGACAATATCACCTAAATATCCTTGAAATGTTAATCTATTCAGAACGAAGATTAGATGGTCTCAAAAGGAGAATCCAAGATCTTCAATCTGAACTAGGCGCTGCTAACGTAGAGCATGGAGACACCAAACGCTCCAAAGAAACTACTGAGCAGGAGCTCCAAGGCTATGAAGTGGAATTATCTTTGAATGAAGCCTCCATTCAAGCCTTAGAGGTTTTGATAGCTTATTTTTTGACTTGGTGATCAGGTGGATCTATCCTCTCATGTCATCACAGATTCACATATTTCTGTTGGAATTACCTTCAGGCCAGGATTTCTGCGATTCAAGATGAGATATCGAAGATTGGGTATGACTTGGAAGCTCTTAAGGCACGGGTTTCCGCTCTAAATAATTTATTTACTTATATTTTTTATGATAAATGTTCTCGAAATTGGTTATGCGCACATTTTTGTCCAACTGAAATCTTCTTACTGAGATTGCGTGAATTTTGGAAAATGGACGTGTGTGTATAATTGCGCTTACATGATGCACAGAACGACGAAGAAATTTCACGGTATGGTCTAATTTTCATCAATGCCTTTTTCCATTTTTATCTGTTTAAAATTGAAAGAATTGTTTTCCGCTTTCTGACTGTTCCTTATTATTCCTTATTATTGTCCATGCAGAGACAAATTTATTACCGAAATGTTCGAGTTCAATAAAAAGATAAGGTTCGCTCATCTATAATATTTTATTTCTTTCTTTGTTGCCCATTCCATTTCCAACAATATGTGCTTCACAAGGAAACATGGATGATAGTTGGATTTATAAATTCAACAAAGAGCCTAGATTACCAAATATTGGGCCATGACAATAGATTCCTGCCACCCTCCCACTGTTCATTGAATATTTCATTTAATTTCTAATCAAATTTCACGAATTACAATCTCTCAAAAGGAGGTTTGGCTTGTAACCCAACTTGATACCATCTCTCTTCTAACCGTGGTATTTGATTTGGTCTGAGGTCACTTAACTGAAGCACAAATGTAGGAAAGGAAAACATGGAAATGCTATTCGATTCATTCATTTGTCTAGGTCACCTTTAGTTCATGTACTTTACAATAGGTGTTATTTTCTTGACCAATGTAAATCAATTAGTCCAAAAGTTCATTTGCCTTCTTTCCAGTTTGACGATAATTGTGTTTTTATACTTGTAAAGAAAAGGGTATGGCTTTCAAGTTTTTATACTTGTTAAAGTTGTGCTAGACATTGTGCCTCAAGTGAATATCTAAATTTTGTCTCAGAATTGGGTTGTAATACCATAGCTGGAAGAAATATGGGTCCAGTAGTAACTCTCAACTTACCCTTGCAGGCAATTTCAAGAAACAAATGCTCATGCTTCTCATAAAGAAAAATGCCTTGAGCTTTCATCAGATCATGGTATGTGGGGTTAATTCTGGACATTAATTGTGAAAATATCATACTAGATTTGCATGTGCAGTTACAATGACAGGATGTTCAGTTTGTGACTAGTTTTCTCCACTTTTGGGGACAATGCTGCTACATAACTGGAATTTGCTTAGAACTTGTCTTTAATGTATGGTCAGGTTAACTCTGCTAATCCATATTCAGTCTTAATTTGAATATAAAACTTTATGAAGCTATGTAAGTGATGATTAATGCCTTTTTGTTGATATTTCACATTTGACTTTATGAGGTAACAAGACATTCAATCGATCCATTAATACATAAAAATGTTTTCAATGTTGGGGACAAAAATGATTTCATCCTCCATTTGATATTGGTCTACTCATTCATTTGCTTACCGTATGCCTCATCGGTATGTACAATCTTGTGGATGATTATGTACTTTGTTAGATATTTACTCCATTTCTATGGTAGAAAAATATCTTATTTTGATCACATAATTCACTAATGCTTTGTAATTCCAGGTTAGGAGCTTGATAACTACATCTAAGTTTTTGGAGTGGGACTTGCAATTTATGGGCTATGAACTTGGTAGCTCTATCTAGGATGTTCAAAAGCCAAATTAGATGTTTACTCTAAAAAGTAGAAGGGAGAAAAGAAGCGCTATTTTTGTTTCTTCATGCAACAGTCTTCTCGTTTTCTCTCCTCTTTCCAGAGAATTTGGACTGGAATATAGTCATAATTTTTATTCTTGTTGCTTCTCAATTTTGGTTCCTGGTATTGAAATGAATTCTGTTGTTGAAGTTCTTCTACATGCTCTAACTGTGTTAAAACTTAAGACATATAAGGAAATGCCTGAATTGTGGAAGTGTCATAACTAACACTGAGAATGTTGACTTTACCAAATAAATCATCAAATATGGTGTATATAATACAGAAGTGGAACTTTGGTAATTATGGTGCTTATCAGTAGTAACTAGGTTAACTACATAAATGTTAATGGCAAATTGGTTCACCTTTCCAAAAGAAATTATGCATGATATTCTTTGCTTTGTTTTGTAAATTTCGAAGGGAGTAGTTTTGATTTGCTTTTGAAGCAGGCCACATGCTTGAGGACAGGCAAGCGATGCTTGATACAGGAGTTGCTTTAAAAGGTCTTGAGGATGAGCTTGCACACATCATTTCTCAAACTCACATGGAGGAACAACAGTACCAAGAAGAGCAAACTCTTCATGAGAAGGTGAGAAGTTGGTCCACCATTTTTCTTTGGGCTGGTAATCATACTATGCTTTACTTATGGTGGAATCAAACTTATCTTCTGATACTGTTCGTGGTAGAATGGATTATCTTTTGCTATGCAAATTTTCTTAAAGGGTTCATATGCCATGCATTATGATATATTAGGGCCCGTTTGGTTCGTGGGAATGGGTGTCTGGAATCAGACTTGAAATGGCCCATTCTGATTCCAACAGTTTGGTTGGGCAGAATCTGAATCCCATTCCCATTCCTGGTGGAATGGCCATTCCTCCCCCTCCCTTGGGAAGGAGATCTCATTCCAGCTGATTCCAATTCCGATTCCGAATCCTGTCTGAACCAAACAGGCTATGGGAATAGACCATTTCGATTCTGATTAGAGGGATTTTGATTCTGATTCCGGAAGCAAACCCAACGGACCCTTATTTCTTCTATGGTATACATCTTTGTACAATTGTTGCGAAACACTAGTTTAAGGAAGAATAATAAGGTTTACTAAGGAATCAATTCAAAACACACACACACGCAGACACACTACCGCAGATCATTACAGCCCAACCAGAAGGTAAAGGAGGGGCCTATTAATCTCACAATTTTAGTCTGCAACACTTTATTTTTGTCTGACTATATTTTGACATATTATGAAGGATCATGCATTGCTAGTGTAATCTAGCTTGTAGGCTCTATGCTTTCTGCTTTAGTGACTGATCAATATTGTGATTATTTTTAATACTAGTAAGTGGGCACATGCGTTTCACGTGGGAGATTGTCATGATAATGATTAAAGTATGGAAAATTAAAAAGAAATTGAAGAAAAAATTTCAACACAGGGCTCACATATAACAAGAAACTCATCTGGATGAGGTTGTTCAAAGAATCACGTGGCAATGTAGATGGTATTGTTACTTGCCAAAAATCAGTCTTGGGTTGCCTCTTGAGCTTCCATTGAATATGAATCTAGGTATTCAATGTTTTTGGGTTGATCAAAAAATTAATGAGACACCCTAATTCTTGTCTGCCCAACACCTGCAATCACTTGCCATTTCCTTAGATGTCAGGCATTACTTAGGCACACTTATGTTGACACCTAGCCTTAACACCATGAAATGAATTAGAAAGGTACTCTCCTAGCCAAGAAGGTTTTTTTTTTTTCCTTTTTTTGACAATAAACTGAAATTGATAAAATATCAGAAGGTTGCAACAAACAGTAAAGAAGTTTTACCAATAAATAACACAAAAGGAAAATTGATAACATAAAATATCTGCAGCTACAAGGTCTAAAGTTGGCCAAAATTAACACCAAAATCTGAGCATTCCAAATGTTTACACTCTGTATGGTAAATCTGCTACTCTATCATCAGGAAAAAATTCACTGTTTCCCTTCAAAGATCCTTCTGCTCATTTCCTTCCAGATCCCAAACAATTAATTAACCATAAATTGAAGATGTTTATCCCACATCGATTTTGAAGTCTGCATTCTGATTCGTTATTAATTAGGGTACGGAGTTTGTTTGCACCTGTCCCTATGGTTTTGAAACCAGGCTTCAACTTCTTGTGGTTTCAACTTCAGCTGTAAAGCCAACGCTTCCTTTTGTTTCTGCCCCCAACACAAAATATCAAAATAGGAAAATTGTCAGTGATAAGTAAAAAAAAAAACAGACTGCAATTGCATGGAAGATTATAATCGAAGAGGGTTATCATCTGCGAAGGAATGAGTTACAGGATTCAAGGTCTGGTTCTGTCCGAAACTCTCCCAGTAGACGAGATAGTTCTTTTGTGAGGTGGAGCTTCTTACGGTGAGGGCCTTCACCACCACCACCACCCAAGCTGGTCTCTTCTTCTTCTGCACTTCCCACTTCTTCTGTGCCTGAGGGGATTTGATTTATGTCCAGCTCTTTCATCACGCTACCACCATCTGTAAGGAAGATGAAGATTTGAATTAGTGTTTTTCCATGTTTAGCAATGAAACCCATCTGTTGGAAACCAGAAAGAAAATAAAAAAGGCCGAACATTTACAAGTGGATTGGATTACCTATTAAGAGTGAAAAGATCGATCCAGTATCCTCCAGAAATCCATAAAGAAAAAGAAGAGACTCACGTGTTGGCAGAAAGCCAAGACTCCATTTGAAAGTAAACTTGATCAAAAAGAAAGAAAGAAAAGCAGACAAAACGTACTTTAATGTGAGCAAAAAGAGAGGAAAAGAAGAAACAAGCAAAACTAAAATGGAAGAAAACCCAGCTATAAACCAGATCCAAGACATATACATAAATCGATAGACAGAGATTAAAAAAAGTCTAGTAAATTCGAAGGATTGAAAGAATACAGGTTTTAATTCATCAAAAAAAAAAGAATACAAGTTTTAACATTACAAATCATAAAAGAAATCGAAAGCCCATAAACAGAGGAGGCACGAACTTGAATAAATGAACATAGTGATAAAACCCTTGAAAAATTTGCTCTCTCTCAGCATCGCCATCTTCATTGAATTTTCCAGAACCACTGGTGTTCTCATTGCCAACCTCAACCGTGTCTTCTCGGCCTCCACCTCCACCTCCATGCTTGCCGCTGCTGGTGTGCCGGCATCTCGAAAAACACTGGCCTTCAAGCAGAACCCAAAAGAAAATGAAGGAAAAAAAATCAAAAAGAACTGAAAAAGATCAACTAAATTAAAAACCAAAAGGTTTTTTTTTTTTTCCAGCCACTCCCACCTTCTCTAACAACGACGGACATCACTGCAACTACGACACCCTCTTGTTGCTGGCTCCCCTCTTGGGTAGCTGTCTTGGGTTTCTCTGCATACTCTGATTTTCCACTTTCTTGTCCATCCTTATTATAAGAATGGCAGAAGTAGAATAATAACCATTCATAGATAAACCATCGTGGAAGCGTTGATCTCTTTGAATGTAGGAGATGAAACCGCTTGGAGGAAAGGTACTCAAAAGTGGGAGATGAAACCGCTTGCAAGGAAGCTACTCAGAAGTGGAATAATAGTTTGTGGGAGATAAACAGTTTGAGTTTGTGGGAGAGAGGGCACTGTTTTCCGGTTTCTAATCCAGTGAGAGTAAAGGACATATATGCCCTCTACATATGCATAGAGAGGGGGGCAGAACATGTCCAATGAAAATTCCAGAAATAGAGGGTGTTCGCTCTTTTATAAGTAGTATAGATCTTAGGCAACAATTCAAATCTGAAAGATATTTCGCATCAAGTTGACTTCATGTTTTTCTGCTTGTTTTTTAACTCTAAGAAGTTATAGATTGACATTTACTTAAGTAGCTCTTCTTGCTTGTAAGGATTATTTTTTAATAATTCATACACCTTTGGCATAAAATGAAAATTTGGCTGCACAAAAAGCTGAAAGAATCTTTTTTTTTGTCAGACTCATTTTATATTTTCTGTTAAAACATCATGAGATTTTCTTAAATTATATAATCTATGTTATACCATTTCCAAAGTTTGTTCTTATTTACTTTTTTTCATTGAGGATCATTTCCATTACGGGACTCAGCAAGTAGTAACCTGAGGAATACTCAGCAAGATCACGCTTTTGCTGGATTTGCAGTATACTAGATTTCACCTTCTTATTTAATGGTTTTGATATTCTTCATAAAGTGATGAGAGGTCACTTATGCTTTGGATATTAAAACTGCCTTCAGGTCCAGCCGGAGTTTGTTCAGTCTGAAAGGCAAGTGTTCTTAATGGAGGAAATTGTGAAAGAAATGAAAGAACTTGAGCATATCACAAGATATCCTTTTCATCATAGTAAAAATAGATGCACTACCTGATACAGCGGTAACAAATTTGGTAGCATTATTGTGGCCCATGTATCAATTGATTAATGGCACTAAGATTTGTGGAAGTGACAATATGAAGATAGAATTTCTCGGGTTGCTAGTGCTTGATATCTGAGAATACTGTGATAAGATACCGGCTTGTGCATTGTTGTCCATTGCCAAGTATGTTCCTTTGACAGCCAAAAAAGCAGATTTCTGAACTAGAAGAGTCATGTGCATCTCTTGGTGAGGAGTTGCAGAGGAGATTTTTGTGCCCCAGCTGTCATCTAGATAATGCAGGAGCATTGGGAGGAATACTTCAGGCAAATGAGAGAAACTGATATCATTTATCTTGGCTGCTTAGGTTACATGGTCTTTAAATGTTGTTACCTCCCATTGGAAAAATTCTCCTGGTAAAGCACAAAGGAAGTGTTGCTGTCAGGGGCTCTACAAAATCAAACCTAAAGCTTATTGCTTTGGTTAATTGATATGATGCCCAGCTAGTTGTTAAAGGCTTCACAGGATATTGTAACCATTTTGATGGGATTCTCTCTGTTTAGAAGACGAAATGCTTTAGAGTTTTGTTAGTTTTGACTGCACAGAGGTATATAATACCTGCGAAGCAGTCATTTTTAAACCTGTAAAAATCAGTATGGTTTCTGTGGGAAAGAAGTTTCTATTGTATGTAATAAAGATGGCTAGATCTTCTTATGTCTTTATCTGTTTCTTTGCTTTTAGGGAGGTTTGAGAGGGATACTCCCTCCTGAAGTCTTGAATGGCTAGGGATCAGTGGTTATTTGTCTTTTCTTTCCTTCTCCAGCAACTTAGGAACATGGAAACCAACTGAAAGAGTGAAGGGACCCACATGGTAGGGGCCTGAGCCCCACATCAAAAGGTAGCTCCTCTATTAGCAACGGTCACTTATTACATTCATTAGTCAATGTGTTATCTGCTAACTTGGGAATGGAAGCATAGCAAAGCTGCTGTAGGCCCAAAAAGTTAGGGTGCTTAGCACCATGGTTTTCGAATGGTCGTTGATCCGGACAGTTGGACTGTTTGGCCTGGAGAGACTGGCCAAGCAACCAGTTCTGTTTCATCCCTGAACCATTCTTTTACCAAAGACCGTTGACTTGGTCAGTGACCCACTGACGTGGATGGTTGAACTGTCAACCTGTTTGATCAAACGGGATTTCTTACTCACTTTTACTACCCACTCTCAACTTGTCGTGAATTGCAGCCACACATCTCTCAATTCATGGCGGGTAGAGAGTGGGTAGGAAAAGTGATTAAGAAATCTGGGTTCCGGTTTGACTCAGACAATAGATTTTTAGTTATTTTATATTTTAATTATTATTTTTTTATTTTTTACTTTTTAAATTTCAGCATGCTGATCTGTTTGGACCAGATGGTTAAACTGTTGACCTAGAAAGTGGTGGCCAAAATGGTTCTGATTCCAGGTTGGCTTCTTTTAAACCATTAAGGCCCCATTTCCTTTTGGTAAGTTATTTACTTGGGCAAATGCAATTACTTGGGTAAGTTTTTCCTGGGAAACATTTACCCGGGTAAGTGCATTTACCCATATTCTTTTATTTCTCATGTAAATAAGGCAATGGCCATTTTAGCCATAAAAATCCATTATTAAAAAGGGCATTTTTGTCCCATTTAAGTGTTGGCAACTTTCCCTTTAAGGTGAGAAAGTTATTTATCCACCTAAGAGATGGGTAAGTGATACCCAAAAAAATAAACTTCCATAGTCCCTACATAAATCTGAAAAAAGGACATGTGATTCTTGGTCAATGGGAACCAAAATCCTATTGACCAATTTTTTCCCCTCTCAAAATCTGAAAAAAGAACGCCCCCTAATTGGCACCGAATAACCCAATGTGTCTTTCCTTCTGTTTCAATAACTAGTACTTGCTACGTTAACCTGTTAGACTATTAAGTGTTGAAAAATGTCAACTAAAATATAAAGGAACCATTAAAAAACATGAGAGATACATGACCCGGCCCCTCCTACATGTAAATAGCAATTTGGAAATAAATGGAAGGGGTGAGTGAAAGAACAGAAGATTTAGAGGTTTTGGCTTTATGAGACATTACATAAGCTGTAATTACATCAGTCCTATTAACATAAACTAAAGATATACTATCAAAAAGTTCCGACATTTATCCATAAGTTCCAATACGGCTATACCCTAGCGGTTAGCTGTATAACGTAGATTGGCATCCCCATCACAAATAGTTAAAATTGCGAGAATCGAGATTAGGAATAGGTACCTCATTATTTGTTACAACTTACAATTAAGAGTGCAAATTGGGTGGGGCAGTGGGGCTGAGTTGGGAATTTGTTGAGTTTTCAAATAAGCCCAAACCCTAACCTTAGCCCGGTGTAGTTGAAATCCGGCGACCCAACCAGCAGTTTCAGTCACATTAATTTCGTGGAGTTATACCAAAAGTACCATAATACGTATTGCCCCAGTATCTAAACACGTCTCAGTCATACCCACCTTTCTTATAAATGAATGAAACTTGAGCTTCAAGGAACTTTTGCCAAGATTCCTTCCATACAACGGTTTAATCTCTGCATTAAAATATGTAATATTGTAATGGGCCTAATGGTCGACCGACAATGATTTACTAATATTGCCACTTCTGCTAGTATACACTAAATTAATATAGAAGTATAGATTATAATGTGGCATAATCCAATAGTATCGGTTCATATCTATTTAAGTTCCAGAGCATCGAAATTCTATTATTTTTTGTGTGTTTTGATAAATTTAGCATCCACAATTGAGGTACAAGCTCATTCCTCTATCAACACCGAGCAACAGGACTCTGATCTTTAACTGGTCGCATTTTATTCATATTCGCACCACTTGCAAATTAGTGCAGAATGTCCTAGACCCATGGTTCAAAATATCGATACAGGGCAATACATCGGTAGGGTGTATTGGCCTGTATCGGTATTGTTTTTTCTTTTGTTTTATTATTTTATTTATTTTTAATCTAATTCAGAGGGGCCGATCTATCCCTTGAATCACTCGCAGACCTGAAATATCCTTTGTAGGAATATATCGAGAAGGCTCCGATATAATATGTATCGACCAATATGAGCCGATATATATCGAAATTTTGAACATTGACTGGGAGTTTGAGTTGTAGCTTAATTGGACATTGCTGTGTAACTAAATTGCAAGTGTGACTGGTCAATGGTGGTTCTACTGACTTCAAAAAAAACGGTGGTTAGGTGTTAAATGAATTATTAATCTTGTATCTACTATATCCATATTAGAAAGAGGAAGGAGGTGAGGGGTTGTCTCACCATAGAGTCATATGAATCTCCTTCTCCTTTCATTTTTCACACGCATGGTTATTTATTTTTAATTCTTTCCATACAATATCTTTCCCACATCATAGATTTACCCCCAATAATAAATATAAGAAGTTAGAAAAAAAGTCTCATTAGATCTCAATTGTCTCTAATAAAATTCACCATTACTTTCTCCATTATGACCATTCTTGAAACTCTCTCTCTCTCTCTTTCTCCAATAGTCTATGTTTGGAACGCCTCCTCTCCCCTATTAAATCTCTTTTTTCCTCTTAAATCACTCTTTAAGTTTTGTCCTTGATCAGTTTTTTTTTTTTTTTTTTTTTGGGGTGGGGGGGAGGTAAGTTAAACAAGAAAATGAGATAGGAAATAGAAGAGGTAGGGTTTGGAGAGAAAAGGCCTGGGAAGGCTTGGGTCTATTGCAGATTTTTTAAAGAAAAAATAAACATTTATTTTAATTTTGGGAGTTGAAGCGTTAGAGAGTGATACTTGACATTTTTGTTCAAGGTTGCTTTTATTTATTTATTTTTTGTGTGGGGGTGGGGGGTTGAGGACCCACTTTATTATGTTTTTGGCCCTGACTTCACTTACTATATAAATAATGGTTTTAACAAGAATTTTTTTTTTTTTTTTTTTGGGGGGGGGGGGGGTCTTAACCATTTTTGACCCTTGCCTGAAGCCAAACAGATGCCAAGACCCAAATATGTCATCCCAAGCTGACAGATTTCCATTTAGCCTACAACAAAAACCTGAAAAATACTCATATCATCCGAGGCAAAGTGAAGAGTCCTCTTGACATAGAGCTCACATGGACCTCCTATCCCTCTCATTTCTCATACGTGGTTATTTATATTAAGTTAAATTATTAAAAATACCAGACGTCCCAATAAACAACCTCCAATATCTTAATTTTCTCTAAAATCCATCATCTCTTGATAAAATCATTCAAAATGTTTGTGATATTTTTCTACTCTCCCATTAAATTCTTTTTTTCTTCTGAAATTTCTCTTGATCTCTTTTGGCTCTCTTAATAAAACAGGGATATAATTTAAATGGTTTGGATCAGGTTAAGGGTCAATTTAACCCTAAACATGGACACTGGCCTGGACTCAAAGTAATGTAAAAATCCAAATTTGCCAATCCAAAATTAACCTAATATCCATTCAACCTGATGTATTTGCATGGATTTACTTGCTGGTTATTATTACTAAAAAAACAGGACTATTAGTCATTACTCCCACGCGGATTTTTGGCTATCGGGAGTCTTGAAAGGGCTGGGACTAGACAAGGACCTAACATCCTTCGTTTTTCACTTTTTTGCACAAAGTGACCTCTCTCAGAACCCACGTTGTCAGCCGAATGTTTCATTATGTTACCAAGCATTCAAGCAATGACCCCTATTTCTGGTCTTGATGTTGTTCCTACTTCCTAGTTTCTCTTTTACGATTTGTTAGGTCACTATATTTCTGGGTTCACTTTAATTGGATATGTTATAACTAATACATGTACAGTTTTGATAGGACAAAAGCTTGTCCTTCGATGCAAATTTGATTGCAATGTTCCTTCTATTTTCTGTGCTTTAAATTTCATATAAAAGGGTGAACAATTTTCTCATCTCCACAGGTTCCTGAGTTCATCTTAGTTTCTATCCAAGGTGTGGTGTGGCCAGACCAATCGTCCGCCCTCCCCCCACCACTGGGTCAAGCCTCATTTGTTGAATAAGTTCCGACAGATTAATTGAAAAGCAAAACCTGGATGAATCTTCAATTTAGGCGAATCACAGGTTCACAGGCGCTAGCATTGTGGTTCAACTCTCTATTTCAAAGCCAACCACAGGTCCCACTTCTAATTAAACTATCAACAAACCTTTTGCACTGTTGCTTAACGTGTGCAATGGGAGGGATTTTTGTTTGCATTTGATGCCTTAAAGGGTTGATCATTGATGTGGACATGCATTGTCTTCAACCTGATAAATTAATGCTTTTTAGTCTCAATTCTAATAAAACCGAAACAAGCACATGCTCAGTTCAAACCACAATGTTCTACCATATTATATGTTTTGTCCAAAATCCCGGTAGTTGAAACGGTAGAAGATGGTCATTTATCCTTTCATTGCATGGTTTTTTTTAAGGTAATCTCTGTGACAGTCATAGAGCCATGGGTGCAGCTTAAAAAAGAATTGTTGATCAAGATCTAGTGGGTTAATCATAACCTTCTAATCTGCTGACTTATCTTTTAGATGAAGGCAACCATCATGCATATCAAGCTGCATGTTGCAACTTGCAGGTTAGGTTTGAAATCATCTCTTCAATTTCGAGAGCGAAATCATTGATCCAAATTACTAAATCTATGAAAGTTAAACCAATGGTCTGATCTTATAACCATTCAATAATTCTCAATAACTAAAAACATGAAATAGAAAAAAAAAATACAAATCCTTTAGAT